AAATCATTAATAATTTAATAAACAAACTGTTTTTAAGAAAAGTAAGAAAGAAGAAGGATATGGAATATCTGATAAAGATAAACTACCAATAATTTCTAATAATCCAAGAGAAACAAAATATTTTTGATTTATTTTATATGAAGGAATATTAGAATTAAAGAATAATTCAAGAACTGAATAAATATGAATAATACATTCTAATTGATCATCTTGTAAATCAGCAATTGTTTGTAGTTTTACATCATCAAAAAATTTAAGAAGAGATTTTCCATAATTTAATTCTCTAAAATTATATTCATTTTGATTATTATTATCTAACAACACTTTTAATAAATCAAAATATAATATAATTTTTCTTGGATTTTTAATATATTGAGCTTCATCAAATGCTTGAAAAATAACATCAAAAATACCATTAAATACAAGTAATTTTTGAAGTTCTTGATTATCTTTACAAATAGTAGTTAAAAATATTGCAATATCAGTATGCATATAAGAATTAGTGAGATTTTGAATAAACAAAGGATATAATTGTGACATTTCAAAGAAACATGTAAATTTTGCATATGATTTATATGTTTTTAAGAAATATGTAATTGTAGATAATATAGTTTGAATTGTTTGAATATCTTTCATTCCATCTAATTTAGAACATAAAACATAATCAAAATTTGGAAGTTCTTTATAAATTCCTTCAACTAATAATTCCTCTTCAAATCCATCTTTATTTCTTGGCTTTGTTGTAATTTCTTTTAATATCAAACAAATAAATTTAATCATTTGACTATCTGTTTTTACATCAGCATTTTTTAATAATTCAGTTAATTGATTTAAATGTTGAAGAAATACTGAATGATTTGTATGAGAACTTGAATATATATCATAAATAATAGTTGTTTTATCTTCTGCAGTTGGTAATGTTTCAAATAATTCTTCTACTTTTGGTCCATCGTCTAATTCAGTAGAAACAATATCATTATAAACAGATTTAATCCATTGCATTTTAATTTATTTATTTTGATTTTATAGTTTTGACTTAACCGATGATGAATTTTAATTATTTTATGTAATATAAATCAATAAATTGATTTATATTTTTTACATTCTTAAATCAGAATAATTTTCTATAAAATAATAATATTTTAAAACAAAAGAAAGAAACAACACAAAAACAAAAAACAAATAACAATTTAATAGTATAACATTATTTTATTTAGAGATAAAAATAATCAGATAATTCTAATTTTTTATTTAGAAAGAAATAACAATATAATTGAATAAAAAATTTTTTGAATAAAAATTAAATTTTGTTATTTAAAAAAAATGAAATAAATAAAAAATAAAAAATAAATTTTTATTCAAATTTAAAAGAAAAACTGTTTATAATTGATGCATTGAACAGAATTTCTTATGGAAAACGTTATCAATATCAGTTGGAATTTGTGGTTCACCAGGTTGATAATTAATGATATCCATAACGACTTTGTGCATAATTCTTAATTTATTAAAGTTAAATAATTCTTTTTCTTTTGAAGCGTTATATTCAGAAACAAGAACTAAATCTCTACTAATAGTACCCATAAAAGGTAATAAAGGTTGTTGAGATGAAGAAATAGTATCTCTTAAATTTTTATAATTATTTTCAA